TTTTCTTGTGACCACCATAAACTCAAACATCCTCAACATAGTGCCACATACTTACTGGACGTAGCCTCCTCTAACTTCTCTGTTTTACTGCACATTATTCTTCTTCACAGCAAGGAAGGAAGGAAGGAAGGAAGGAAGGAAGGAAGGAAGGAAGGAAGGAAGGAAGTGTTAAGGAAGTGCTCACATCTGTCCCTTTGTGTTAAAACACAGGGACAGATGTGAGGTTAAAGAGATACTTGATACCCAGCTGATGGGCACACGCCTTGAACAACTTTGGGTGGTTTTAAAACCCTTCTCACCTTGTTTTGCAGAGATGGTCAGCACAGCACATTTGAGATATTATTGCTGTCTGGCAGCTAATCAGTATGATCTTGATGTTCCTATTGACAACTGGACTTGTAAGCAGTGATCTTCACTCCTCTCCAGCGCTCCCATTCACTATGAAGAAATGGAGCTTGTGTCTCCATCTTTCTAGTCTCTTTTGTCTGGAGCAAGTATTAACGTGATTTTTTTTTTTAAGGGAAAAAAACCCAAATCATTTCCAGGATGGAACAGCTCACAATGATCACAAGCAATAACTGAAAAAAAGAAATAAAAAAGAAACACGCAGATGAAATAAATGGAAAAATATGAAAATGAATAGAAGCAACTGCAGCAGGCTGCACATACTGTACAGTCAGTGCATGTACACATTTTGCATTATCCATTTTTCATCTGGAGCTTTTTTAGTTTGCTTTGTTCATTTGCTTTTGTAATTGTTTATGTATCCATACCTGATTTTCTTTATAGAGTAAAGAAATTTTAGAGTTGTTATATCATTTTATAGATGTAGAAATTTCAAATGAAACCGTACCCAGTAAGGTCTGATTGATTGCCTCTGTTTCTGTTTTTATTATATTTGTCCAATCTATTTGAACTGTTATCAATTTCAGATTATGCAGTGATTCAGATGTGACCCCAGATGTTGTTCCAGATGTGAAACAAGGCTATTAGAGGAACACTTGTAGTAGTGATGCATTTAGGTTCTGGCAGTCAATAGGCCAAAAACTGACCGTTGCTTATCTCTGTGTTTTAAAGGCAATGGAAAGCTAGTGTGTTAAGCTTTTACCTTGAGAAGCAAACATACGAGAGATACTGTATATCTCATGCAACAATTGTGGGGAAGACTGCTGACTTGACAGTTGCCACGACAATCTTTAACACCCTCCTCCCTTCTGAGAGTAAGTCACAGGAGGTCATTCCTGCAAAGGCTGGCTGTTTGCAGAGTGCTGTATGGAAGCATATTGCTGGAATGTTGATGGGAACAGCGTCCTGGTAGTAACAGGTGCTCAAGCAACAAAGATAACCAAAGCTTTGAGAGTATTGTCAAGGAAAGTCGATTGAAGAACTTGGGAGAGCTTCAAAAGGAGTGGACTGAGGCCTGGGGGGCCACAACAAACGTGGGGCCTCAGGAAAGGTGCTACTGTACAACGATCAGATTCCTGATATCAAGCCAGGCCTGAGTCATAAACACCGTCAGAAGCATTTATCTGGGGAAAAAGCACAAGAACAGGATTGTTACTCAGTGGTTCAAAGTCATTTATTCACATAAAACTAAATTTTATATTTCATTTGGAAATTGAAAATGGGAAACTTCATTGGAAATGAATGTCTAAGAGTACGGACCAAGCGTGGAGAGGCATAGACTCCAAGGTGTTTAAGGTCCAGTGTGAAGGTTCAGGGGCCTGTGATGTTTTGGGGTTCTGGTTTTGGTGGTGGTTGGTCCAAAGCTACCCAGCTACTGGGAGATTTTAGTGCACTTCATGCTTCCATCTGCTGACAAAACATTATGGAGGTGACGCTTTTGCTTTTCCAGCAGGACGCAACACCTCCCCACAGCACCAACATTACGACCAAAGGGTTTGCTGACCATGATATTACTATCAGCAGACAGATATTGCCCTCGAGTGATCTTGACCTAAAAGAAATGAGTTGAAGGTGGCTATCAAAGCAGCCTGGGCTTAAATAACACCTCCACATTGCCACAAGATGATCACCTCTATGCCATCATGCACCGATAATTCATGGTGAAGTACTGCGTTTATAAACAAAAGTACTTTTCTGATGTATGTGTGTGACTTTCATGAGCCATAAGCCGTAGTCATCAAAAGGAAACATAGTAAATATTTTGCAATGTTTCACTTGTAAGGAGTATATAATACCTCATGACCATGTTGTATTAAATAATGGAGAATAAAAATAACATTTTCACATTATTTTTATTTCTTCAGCTGCACGAGTACATAATCAGTGCCTTGAGTCTCAAAAGAGGAGCTGCTCACCATCCTTTCAGCAGTAGACTGTACTGTGTTTTTAAAATGTTTTTCCATTTGTGCTGTCATCCGTGTTCTAAAAGTAGACTTCTTTATTGTAGGATGTCCTCTTTTGAAAACAAAATTATCTAAAAAGCCTCTATATTTGGTATCTGTTGTTGCCAGGCAACAAAATGCAGTCCCAGCTGAATTTTTTTTTTAGACCCTGAACATTTTAAGCTATTTAACCAAATACTTAAAGGACTGACATGGAGTTAAAGTGGATGTGTAATGGGAAAGGAAAAAAGAAGGGCTAGAGAGAGGAAGATGACTAGCTGAGTGACAGGGTGACGGGCTGGCCGGCTTCCTGGTTTCTCGCAGACTGTTGTCAAACTCAGTCGATCTTGGAGAATCCCAGTGCTGCCATCTGGGCTTAACGGGAGCTTCATCCTGGCACTGCCTACTGGTACAGATGGCATAAGGATACTATGTCACTGTTACAGTAGACTTGAGTACAATAGAATAGAGCAGAGCTGCAAAGTCACAGGTCGGTTTAAGTCTTCACAGGGAGCCACAAGATTTACTGTATCTATATCTAATTTTTCCAGGGGCCAACATAATTACTCTAATTGTACTACTCTAATGGTACTTGTTATCATGTTGTCATGACCTCCCACACAAGCAGTCCAGACCTGCAATATAATTTATTTCACACAGTGTTTAAATTGATCGAAAACACATCCTGACTGTCGCTGCTGTTTGGGAAAGAAACTCTTAGCATTCGGATGATTGGGAAGACGTATACTGAAATGCTATTAAAACATTCTAACACCCAATGTCTAATCTTATTTATTTTACAGCATTAAAATGGGTCTAATCTGTTGTATTTGATTATCGAATCCTATTTTATTCATGGATTTGACTTCCTGTAGAGCAGATCTGCAGGTATGAGTGCTCTTCTGCAGTAACACACATAACTCACTCACACAGTTGCACACCTAAAGCTGCCTACTGCCAATGCACTGTGTCATGCTGGCCTCTGAGCAGCCTCACTATGCCGTTGTGGGCAGTAGAAATAAGGCAGGGACAGCTGCTGTCACCCTCCTTAGGCTAATTTGTCCTGATGTTCCTGCCACAGTCCGGCTTCTCAGCTCTCAAACCAGTGCCTCTCTGTGTGGAATGATTTGCAGAAATGCAAAGTGTTGATTTAATCGAGGATTTTGGAAAATGACGATGCTCATTTTTGCTAATCCGCATGAAACGTGCAGCTGAGGTGTAAAACCGCAGGCAACAGATTACACTTCAGAGTGAAACTCTGAGCTGAGACACAGGCGTACGTACAGGAAGTTTAGCTATTACTTCACTGCCAACCTGTTTGTACTTGTGTTGCCAAGACTGAAGAAAGTGAGCATTTCTGTAAAGTGGATTTAAGCTCTGCTGAGTGAAATTGAAATAAACAAATAGTATTGAATTGGCTCGTGCTGCCTGTGAATGAACTGATTAGACTTAGAAGCCTCAAAACAGCAGCCCACTCAGATGACTACTGAATGTAAGCAGCAGTTTGCACCACACTGAGCTCTGGGTAAGGCTGCTCACTTAGCATCCATCATGTCCTCCACAATGCCAGCAGGGTCCCCAGCTGCTTCCACCACTGCATCACATGTGTGGCTCGTCTTTGATGTTTGTGTGTCTTGTGTCGTGCCACTATAGGCCAGTCAGTGTGGAGATAGGCATCATCACCAACAGTTTTGCTGTGAAATTAAATAACGAGCCAGCAAGACTAGATTAAGATTCAATGACAACGTGGCACCTTTGCCTTTCAGATTCACATTTCACTTTGAATGCTAAAATGATGGTCAGGAGGAGGAGGGACACATTTATCACAAAGGCCAAAGATCAGTGTGTGTTTAGCAGGGTGGGGTCAGATACTGATATTGCTGGTGACTTGTCATATGTAATTTAAAGAAAAAGAGACGCTTGTTTGGAATGCAAATAGTTACAGTATAAAGCACAATGGATAAGTCATTTATAAATATAAGGACTGATGGATTACTACTGTCTGTTCATATTAACTTCAATAAAGGGCTTTATTGGTTTATCATTGTCTAATATGCCATCAAATCCAGTTATAAATACTACAAGTTGGTGATTAGTGGATTTTAGTCCAGGCTTATTTGCAGGACATTTATAATTAAGTTAATAATTGTTAATAAGAATCTTTTAACAACGTGGCAACTCATAATTGGTTCAAAATGACTTGTAGCGGAACTATAGGGTTAAAAGATAATTTCTTAATAGTTAATAAGACATTATTACATCATATCATCCGTTAAAAGACATTGCCTTATAAGAGCGTGGCGTTTGTTTAAAATAAACCTTTTCATTGAATATTATCTCTAATCGAAACCGGGCTATTTTTACGCACCAAAATAGAAAAAAAATCTCATAGGAAAAGATGGAGGCAGCATGGCAACAGTCTCAGAGACAAGCTCGACTTCACGTGCACGCGCACCTGCACAATGAGATAAAAGACGACTTCTCCTCTTTGCTCTCACAAACTCTCACCCGTGCGCGATTACCGCACACAGGCGCGCACATCCACGCGTCCTCGTTCCATCTTCATCCATCTTTCCTCCCCCTCCTCTCTCTTTCGCTCTCTCTCCCTCTACGAGGGACGTATGGGAGGGCACGCTCGTGCTGAATGTGTTTTTTCCTGCAGCGTGCTTTACGGTACCGGAGAAGAAGAAGGAGAAGCACGCCGCTCCCCTCCGTTGGTCACGGAATCAGTGTTGTGACATTGCGCGCCTGCTTCTTATTTTCTAAATGGACCGAAGGGGATGTGACTGAAAGCAGTGTGTAGTCTGCGCGCGTGTAACCGAGTTGGATTTAAACCTGACCCTGAGATGAATCACACTGCCCCGGTTGATGCGCTCATCTCCTCCGTCTTCTGGCTTCGGGGGCACTAAAGATGCGGCTGATAGCGCGGGTACCTGTCCTGGTTTCACACCGGTTCGGTTTGTCCCGGTAGACTGATCCCGTCCGGTGCTGCGGTTTCCAAAGGGGCGAGCTGAGTGATTTTTTTTCTTTCTTAACCGGATCCGTCACCAGCAGCCTGCCAGATGGATAACTACTCTACTTTACAACGTAAGGCGACAGTGACAGACACATACCTGCTCCCGTAGCCCATTTCTTGTTAAGTCTGTGCTAATGATGGAGTTCCCTTAATGAATAACCACATTAATCTGGGGTTAGCAAAGACTGCAGCTGAAGTCTGATTTTACTGGATAAAAAACAGAAAAAAAAATAACTTAAATAAATATTAAAATATCCTGTAAATGTCCACAGGAGGGACATTTGATGGTTTTCCCTCATGTTTTGTCACGACCATACATTTTTCTTGGGCTGACATCACGTGACAACTTGAATGGCATTTTTCAGAATTTGGTGAGCTTTGCTACTGAGCATCTAAACAGTGGCACTGTACACCGTATTTAATAATTTGGCGCTTAAATGTACGCACAAATTAAGCCCCTTCATCCTTTCATAGACACCCCCCACCCAGGGCCTTTGAAGCTCCGAGATGAGCTAATGAAACAACCATGACTGCAGGATCAGGGAGAGGTGGGGTGTGTGGGGGGATAATATATGATGCAGTGTCACATACCCTCTTGTCTTGACATGTAGCCCCCAGCCCTGTTGCCATTCTAACGTCATGCTTTCATATAATGCACCACATTCACACCTGTTAAATCCACCACCTTGAGGTATGCTGTGCTTATTAGACTATCTGCACCATTATTTAGCTGTATCGGTTTGTCATGCTTGTTATGAGCCTGTAATGACAAAGGCTTATTAACCATCTGCCTAAATGGTTTATGGCTGCAGTTATGCACCTGTAGAAGGTTATGGCTTTTTATTAACTGGATCATAATTTTTACAGATACAAGCTCTAATTTGTTGTCCATGTCTCTTCTGTGTGTGTATGTATGTGACTTACAGGGTTGTAAACCAACAAAAAGAGCCTTTTTTCCTTTTTAAAATCAAAGAGAATATTTAATTCCAATCTCAACTGCAACATATTTTAAAGCTCCTCTGTCTTTGTTGCTCCTAAGACGGTTCTATTTATACACTCTTTTTCGACAGGGCTTTGAAGTCGCTGCTCATTTTGGTGTCATTTTGCAAAAAAAAAAACTATTATGTGTTCAGCGCTGGTTTCTTTCTTTGGGTACACTGATCACAACAGCTTACATGCTGCATGTGTAATTCTCCAGACATGGAGAGTGATCTGCCACATCTTCAGGCTACATGAGCTATAGAATACCATGTAGATTTTTTAGGGACTATAAAAGGATTTTTGAGAGGTTGTCAGGCAGAAATGTGTACCAGTAATGGAATCTAATCAAGTACCTTATAGCCATGGATTGTATTTAACGCCTGTATGTTGAAGATTACTTTTCAAACCAAACGTTCACTGAGACTTTCGAACACAACCACTGGACTGATCAATAATTTTCAAGGGAACAATTCACAGGACTCAGTTACTGACAGATGGTTGTAAAACTGATATTTTTTTCAAATAATAATAAAACTGACCATGCAAACACTTCATAAAGTAGTTCACAGCAGTTGATCTGTTATAATAAAACTCACACATTGATGAATCTCTGGTAATCACATGTATAACCCCTTCTTGCATTTGAATCTTTGCTTTAAGTGCACATTGCTGCTCACACATTTCCTAAATTATCTCACGAATAGATAACAGAACACTTGGAGTAGTTTTCACTGTTTCCCTCTTTGTGGAATTTGTTTTCTCCTTTGAATGATGATCTGCCAGCTGTTAGCAACAGCTGGATTAGTCCAGTATTTAGCAGCTGCCACAGCTTGGTCGATATTGTTTCACCTTGTGAGTCTGTATCTGTAGCGCACAAAAATATGGTCCTGGCTACATCTACCATAGCAGAAACTACCATTTTGAGTACTTCTGCAGGTGTTTATGTGACTATCTGTGGACAGGGTTTTTCAGGAATTGGTGTCATAACCCTAAATGCCATAAATGCCGTCGTGATAGTTTACAAGTAAGCAGCAGTCATGAAAATCAAGTTCAAAGATGGTTGCAGTTTGACCCATGGGTAATGATTGTTTTAAGAATGCACAGTGTGATACCAATGCAAGATGGTCAATAGTCAGCAACTTAATAAGTGGATCTTTTGATTATTGCTTGGTTTTTATGGAGTAATATTTTCAATTAAAATGGCCAAACATTATCCAATTCCACCTTCTCAGTGTGAGAATTTGCTATTTTTCATCATCTTATTGAAACAGCTTTTTGGTTTTTAGACTATTGCTTGGGCAAATCTGTGTTTTTATGCCTGTCTGTTACAGCTGAGCATATGAATAATCTGTCAGTTGTCGAAATAAATAGCCATCTCATTTATACTGAAAACCCTAATTATTTATTAATATACTTTATGGTTGGTACTTAATCCCTTGTCTTTGGCATTTGGTGGTTCCCGTTTATGAGAAATACTAAAGACAGAAGAAGGTTTTTACATACGAGCACTTAGTGATGGTGAAATAAATAATATTCAGGTAACTGCAATCTTGTCATCATCAATTTTCCGTATTACTTACATTTAAACCCATCTACAGATGTACTCATTTTGTCAGTCTAAATTAAGCATGCCTAGTACCGAGGCTTCAGATCTAAGAAATGATAAATGCATTAACATTTCCTCTTCAAAGAGAAAACTTGCATACAGATAAAGAAGGATGAGTGGCTCAGTGTTCTACTGCTGCTCCACTTTAGCTCTGACAGGACACTGCTGTTCCTTGCTGCTGCTGCTGCTGCTGATGCTGCTGGTTGCCTAGTGACTGTATCCATGGAACCGGCTCCCATCGTCATGGTGACGGGCCAAGGGAGAGAGACCCAGTGAGGGAAGGGGGACAGAGATACCAGTACATCTGCAGTGTGTGCTACAATGATGAGGATGAATTGTAATATAATGAAGGATGATGATGATGAAGACTGTAATGCTCTGATTGCGATATTCTGGTGTTTTCAGATGTAGTGATACCACTGAAAAGCATGGAGAGGCTAGTTTGAAACAGAGAAAATGGTCATGTGGTTGCCAAAATATGAAAAATATGTCAAGGCAGTGGTTAAATGTAAAAGCCGTACTGCTATCCATGGATGGTTGGATCGATGGGTCGATGGTCTATAATAGCACTGCAATAATTATCAGAGCTTAATTAGCAAGATTAACCTCGAACTATGTTCATAATATATTTATTAAGGTAATTTCATAAACAATCATGTTATGGCTAGCTGGCTGAGCACACACATTTGCTAGTATTGTTGAAAGGAAATTTTTGTTGTACATTTTTACTTTGTTCCATTAAATGATTTACAGGTGGCTAAAGCAATACTGTTTGATATAGATCTAACAGTATCATTGTAATATAATTTACAATGGGTGGTGAAGGATATTTGCCAAGCTAGCCATTGAGATGAGATATAATTTTTCTAGTGCTAAGATTAGCAAGCAAGATACATTCATCTATCGAGCTGTAACTTAACTACACAGCACAAATCCACTGTTATCCACTTAAGACTTGCTTTGTAAGGTAGTTTGCAGTTCATCTGTGTTAGCAGTGATGCTAGCATTAGCTAATATTAGCTAGAAGATAAAATGTCTTCTAAAAACAAAGCAATACCACCATGTATCTAATGCCCTGCTTATGTCAGCCGTAGCTTTACCTGATAGGCAACTTCCTGAAGCTCAGACAGGCTTTGTTAGATAAAACTGGCTACCCTTCTGAGTTATGTTTGGGCTAATGGAGCCCAATTGATTTATTGGCAGGTCGATACCATCTGACTAATTATTTGCTGATCTATGTGTATGAAGTAATAACGGTCAAAAAGTGAAAAAAGGGCACTCTAGAACTTCCTTGTTGGCAACATGTATTTGGAATGCCACAAACAGGACAACCAGCTGATCCGAACAGTCGGACAGAGTGTAAACAAGTAAATAAAGAACTCCATATAACAAATGTCAGGGAAATGCCTATGGTTCGTGTGTCCAAAACAAAACATATACTTAAATACCATAGTTTTAAATCACCAAATAGACTGTAAAATCCTAAATCGGTGAGCTCTAGCAGATAATTTGCTTGATACCTATAGGCAGTATACAAGATACATTCTGGGTCGGAAAAGTGAAGTCAGCTTAGACGAGACTTACACCAGCGCTCTTTTTAAAGGCTACCAGCGACTGACAGCTGTGATTGCAAAAAGCCTTTGGGTCCTATAGAAGTATGTGGCAAGTCAGCCCTTGCATCTGACCTCAGTAAATACTTTTGTGATAAGTTTAAGGGCTCAGTGACTTGTTTTGTGTAATAGTAAATAATAAATAAAGTTCATTTTGTAATTTTTGTCAGAGTCAGAAAGACTTCACAGTAAGAGTCGCCGCTCATACATTAAGTTTGTTTTCAGTGTGCCAAGATGGTGGAAGTTGCTTAACTTTCATTTATTGGAGCATGACATAACACTTTCATTGTGTTGATCAAAGCTTCAAAGATAAGTAAATACATTTTGAAAGCACAGCAACAATATCTCTTCCCAAAAAGCTTTACCTGGTTACTTAATAATGACGCTCGCCAACATTTCACCCTGCAGAAGGAACCATCCATGTGTCCATGACGAAAGTATGCCCGTGAAGGTGTAGCATGTTGGAGACATTAATAGCATCCCCTTTGGCTGAGCTAGTGGAGTACTTGCACTTCCTATGTTTGACAGGTGTAGATTGTTTGAAGGAAAATATTTCCTACCTAAAAGTGCTGACAACAAGGTTTGGGTAAATCTAATCAAGAGAAAACCAGAGTCTAAAACTGGGCAACTAAAGTCAACCCTGGTCAAGAAATTGAATGTTTTAACGAGTATCAGAAAACATTTTTATCTTTTTTTCATGCAAGTGTTCATGTAAGATTTTTGGATGGCATGTGGCTTAAGCAGCCATGCGTAAGCCTAAAAGACAAACGAGACCATTTTTTTCTGTGCTTCTTAAAACCATATTAGCTTATACTAGGAAACCCTTGCAGGATTTTAGAGGAGCTCAGAGGAGCAGAGCGAGGAGTAGAGTAGA